GAACGGCGAAACGAAAACAGAGGTCTAGAGACACCCTCCAAGAAAGCAACTTCCAAGCAGCTCCTTGGAGCCTTGGCACCCATGTCGGTGTCGGAAGGCTGCTTGGAGACGAAGACGCCACCGATCTCGCCAAGCTCCTGGTTCACCTGCCGCACTGCCAGCAATCAAAAAAAAAACATATGGGCCACGGCCGAAATCTATCAATCTCGGTGAGTCTACCCAACGTCGCTTGCTTGAGTACAGGGGTGAATATGGGCAGTTGCTCATATGTGATCTAGCCACCCGCCCGCCAAAGGGACCGACCCCTTAGCAACTGTGCAACCTGCGCCAAGCCAAGCTGTTCAAATCTGCGCCCCCGGCCATGCATGTCAAAATGCTCATCTGTGCTGCCGAACTTACTCGCGCGCATGCATTCACGGACGCGCACGATTGCACAAACGCGCACGTGCACACACACACAGACAGACAGACAGACAGACAGACAGACAAACAGACAGAAAGACGGACAGACAGACAGACAGACACAGACGCACAGACGCACAGACGCACAGACACACACACACACACACACAGACACACACACACACACACACACACACACACACACACACACACACACACACACACACACACACACACACACCACCACACACACACGCACGCACGCACGACACACACATGCACACACACACCCACACGCACACAGCTCACACACACACTGCGCGAACCACGCTGCACGCAGCGACGCACGCACCCACCACCACCCCACCCACCCACCCACACACACACGCATACGCACCTTACGCACGCTGCATGCATACGCTGCGCGCACGCACGCACGAACGCCCACGCACGCACGTGCAGCACGTGCCCTTACTACGTGGGTGCCTGCATACATACGCACATACCTGCTGCCACGCCACGCACGCACGCACGCACGCACGCACGCACGCACGCACGCACGCACGCACGCACGCACGCACGCACGCACGCACGCACGCACGCACGCACGCACGCACGCACCCACACACACACACACACCCGCGCACGCACACACACACACACACACACACAGACACACACACACACACACACACACACACACACACACACACACACACACACACACACACACACACACACACACACACACACACACACACACACACACACACCCACCCACCCACCCACGCACGCACGCACGCACGCACGCACGCACGCACGCACTCACCCACACACACACACACACACACACACACGCACGCACAGACACGCAGACACGCAGACACGCAGACACGCAGACACGCAGAGACGCAGACACGCAGACACGCAGACACGCAGACACGCAAACACGCAGACACACAGACACAGACACACAGACACACCCGCCCAGGCACTAACACTAACAGCAACACACACACACACACACACACACACACACACCCGCCCAGGCACTAACACTAACAGCAACACACACACACACACCCGCCCAGACACTAACACTAACAGCAACACACACACACACACACCAATACAAAAGCATGCATTCCATTCAAGCATCCTGGCCTTGTTCACCTCCATCTCGATGGCACCCTTGCCAAGGTCAAAGACCTTGTTGGTCTCCTTGAAGAGGTCCTCCTGACCGCCCTTGCCATCAGCCTGCATGGCAGGCAGGGCCACCGCCTGATCGTAGCCCAAGTACATGCCGCGGGCCTTAGGGTCCAGGAAACCACCAGTCCGGTAGGAAGGCACGCTGAACTCGCCACCCCAAGTGAAGCCAGGCTTGAAGGAGCTGCCCTCACCCTTGGCCACCAGCTCCTTGACGGTGAACAGGAAAGGCACGTACTGGCCATCCGGCAGCTTCACAGTCGTGGCTGCGAAGTCCATGCCATCCTGCTCCTTGAAGGTGATGGGGTTGGGATCCAGGCTGCCCTCAACGAAAGCCAGGCTGTAGGTCTGGCGAGTGGTCAGCTTGGTGGTGGCGAACTCCTTGCCCTTGTCAGTCTCGAACTCCACCGCAAAGGACTTGGGCTCGAAGCACACGTTGATGAGGCGGGAGCCGCTCTTCACTGGCACCTCACTGCCGTTGGACTCCACGGTGGGGCAGCGGTTCGCCAAGCCGGAGCCCCTGACCTGATTGTAGGTGAGCTGGCTGAACTGCTCAGCCGTGATGGCCTTGGCAGGCTGGGCGGCCACAAGGCCGAAGACCAAGCCAAGAGCGGCGCCAAAGCTCAAGAGAGGTGCGGCCCAGGACCAGCTGCTCTCGCTGCTCTGCACCGGTGCCGACTTCAATGCCTCGATGTGGTGAGGGGCTGTGTTTGCGCGGGGCGGCTGGGTGGGCACTCCGCTAAGGAAGCAGCTCCCTGCGGCCGCCGCCGCCAGCAACACTCCCACCACTGCGCAAGAGCGGGCCATGGCTTGGAATTCAGATAAAAACAAAACCCAAGGGCCTTGATTAATAAACGCGCCGGTAAGAGGTTCACCTGACTCTTCCAAGCAAGCGGTCCGTCCCAACGATCGCGTCGTACCGCCTTCTTGCAAGTGGTACTCACACTGGAAATTTTGGTGTTCAGCGAGAAGCTCAGAGCAACCCGAAGCACGCATGTCTCGAACAGCGGGGTGGCATTAAAACCAGCCATCCAATGCTGCAAGTAACTGAACGGAAAATCACGCTCAGGCGGTTTTTGCTCAGCACAAGCACCGCCAATCTGTGGCCTCTCAGGCGTTCACCACCTTTCCGTAGAAAATGCCCTTCAGGAGAATGGTCCTTCGGAGGCAGTGCACACTCCGCCAAAGCAACGGAAGGACACCTCTTGACCCTTGCCGCGCAAAGAGTTCCGTCAACCTATAGCATGAAATATTGACAAATCAAGAAAGCACCCTCCAAGCAGCTCCTTGGAGCCTTGGCACCCATGTCGGTGTCGGAAGGCTGCTTGGAGACGAAGACGCCACCGATCTCGCCAAGCTCCTGGTTCACCTGCCGCACTGCCAGCAATCAAAAAAAAACATATGAGCCACGGCCGAAATCTATCAAACTCGGTGAGTCTACCCAACGTCGCTTGCTTGAGTACAGGAGATGATGGTGAATATGGGCAGTTGCTCATATGTGATCTAGCTACCCGCCCGCCAAAGGAACCGACCCCTTAGCAACTGTGCAACCTGTGCCAAGCCAAGCTGTTCAAATCTCCGCCCCCGGCCATGCATGTCAAAATGCTCATCCGTTCTATCTCGTTGGCACACAAAACACACACACACACACACACACACACACACACACACACACACACACACACACACACACACACGCACGCACGCACGCACGCACGCACGCACGCACGCACGCACGCACGCACGCACGCACGCACGCACGCACGCACGCACGCACGCACGCACGCACGCACGCACGCACGCACGCACGCACGCACGCACACAGGCAGACAAGCAGGCAAGCACGCACGCACGCACGCACGCACGGACGCACGCACGCACGCACATGCATGCACGCACACCGACAAACACAAACACTAACACTGACACTAGCAGTAACACACTCTCTCACACACACACGCACCAAAACCACAAGCATGCGTTGCATTCAAAAAGCTGTGCTGACATCCGGGCCTTGTTCACCTCCATCTCGATGGCACCCTTGCCAAGGTCAAAGACCTTGTTGGTCTCCTTGAAGAGGTCCTCCTGACCGCCCTTGCCATCAGCCTGCATGGCAGGCAGGGCCACCGCCTGATCGTAGCCCAAGTACATGCCGCGGGCCTTAGGGTCCAGGAAACCACCAGTCCGGTAGGAAGGCACGCTGAACTCGCCACCCCAAGTGAAGCCAGGCTTGAAGGAGCTGCCCTCACCCTTGGCCACCAGCTCCTTGACGGTGAACAGGAAAGGCACGTACTGGCCATCCGGCAGCTTCACAGTCGTGGCTGCGAAGTCCATGCCATCCTGCTCCTTGAAGGTGATGGGGTTGGGATCCAGGCTGCCCTCAACGAAAGCCAGGCTGTAGGTCTGGCGAGTGGTCAGCTTGGTGGTGGCGAACTCCTTGCCCTTGTCAGTCTCGAACTCCACCGCAAAGGACTTGGGCTCGAAGCACACGTTGATGAGGCGGGAGCCGCTCTTCACTGGCACCTCACTGCCGTTGGACTCCACGGTGGGGCAGCGGTTCGCCAAGCCGGAGCCCCTGACCTGATTGTAGGTGAGCTGGCTGAACTGCTCAGCCGTGATGGCCTTGGCAGGCTGGGCGGCCACAAGGCCGAAGACCAAGCCAAGAGCGGCGCCAAAGCTCAAGAGAGGTGCGGCCCAGGACCAGCTGCTCTCGCTGCTCTGCACCGGTGCCGACTTCAACGCCTCGATGTGGTGAGGGGCTGTGTTTGCGCGGGGCGGCTGAGTAGGCACTCCGCTAAGGAAGCAGCTCCCTGCGGCCGCCGCAGCCAGCAACACTCCCACCACTGCGCAAGAGCGGGCCATGGCGTCAGGTAAAAATGCAGACACCGGACAAAAACTTGACTAGAAAAGTGCGTGGCGATATGATAAGTGCAGCAAACAGGTCATGCATGACAAAAGCTCAGAAGGTGCCTCCATCTCGCAGGCAAGGTCAGTGCTGTTGCAAGCCTTTTGCAGCCTGATGCGGCCTGTCTGTGGCTTCTCAGGCGTTCACAACCTTTCCGTAGAAAATGCCCTTCAGCAGAATGGTCCTTCGGAGCGTGCAAGGTGTTGAAACGAAGAAGAACGGCGAAACGAAAACAGAGGTCTAGAGACACCCTCCAAGAAAGCAACTTCCAAGCAGGTCCTTGGAGCCTTGGCACCCATGTCGGTGTCGGAAGGCTGCTTGGAGACGAAGACGCCACCGATCTCGCCGAGCTCCTGGTTCACCTGCCGCACCGCCCGCAATCATCGAACATGTTATAGCTACTTCTGACGAAAGAATTGCGGCCCCATTGCAAGCATGTCCTGTCAAGACTGGGCAACGCATGCAAAGTCGTCAAGGTGTCCCGATCTGCGAGACCACAAGCATTAAAATCGATGGTGGACCAAACATTTCGAAACCTTGAATGTCCATTCAGTATCTGCCCAACTAGCAACTGTTGGGCCCTCTTCACAAGGCCCAAAAATTCAATTCCCGGGCATCCGGGCCTTGTTCACCTCCATCTCGATGGCACCCTTGCCAAGGTCAAAGACCTTGTTGGTCTCCTTGAAGAGGTCCTCCTGACCGCCCTTGCCATCAGCCTGCATGGCAGGCAGGGCCACCGCCTGATCGTAGCCCAAGTACATGCCGCGGGCCTTAGGGTCCAGGAAACCACCAGTCCGGTAGGAAGGCACGCTGAACTCGCCACCCCAAGTGAAGCCAGGCTTGAAGGAGCTGCCCTCACCCTTGGCCACCAGCTCCTTGACGGTGAACAGGAAAGGCACGTACTGGCCATCCGGCAGCTTCACAGTCGTGGCTGCGAAGTCCATGCCATCCTGCTCCTTGAAGGTGATGGGGTTGGGATCCAGGCTGCCCTCAACGAAAGCCAGGCTGTAGGTCTGGCGAGTGGTCAGCTTGGTGGTGGCGAACTCCTTGCCCTTGTCAGTCTCGAACTCCACCGCAAAGGACTTGGGCTCGAAGCACACGTTGATGAGGCGGGAGCCGCTCTTCACTGGCACCTCACTGCCGTTGGACTCCACGGTGGGGCAGCGGTTCGCCAAGCCGGAGCCCCTGACCTGATTGTAGGTGAGCTGGCTGAACTGCTCAGCCGTGATGGCCTTGGCAGGCTGGGCGGCCACAAGGCCGAAGACCAAGCCAAGAGCGGCGCCAAAGCTCAAGAGAGGTGCGGCCCAGGACCAGCTGCTCTCGCTGCTCTGCACCGGTGCCGACTTCAACGCCTCGATGTGGTGAGGGGCTGTGTTTGCGCGGGGCGGCTGAGTAGGCACTCCGCTAAGGAAGCAGCTCCCTGCGGCCGCCGCCGCCAGCAACACTCCCACCACTGCGCAAGAACGGGCCATGGTGTCAGGTAAAAATGCAGACACCGGACAAAAACTTGACTAAAAAAGTGCGTGGCGATATGAGAAGTGCAGCAAACAGGTCATGCATGACAAAAGCTCAGAAGGTGCCTCCATCTCGCAGGCAAGGTCAGTGCTGTTGCAAGCCTTTTGCAGCCTGATGCGGCCTGTCTGTGGCTTCTCAGGCGTTCACAACCTTTCCGTAGAAAATGCCCTTCAGCAGAATGGTCCTTCGGAGCGTGCAAGGTGTTGAAACGAAGAAGAACGGCGAAACGAAAACAGAGGTCTAGAGACACCCTCCAAGAAAGCAACTTCCAAGCAGGTCCTTGGAGCCTTGGCACCCATGTCGGTGTCGGAAGGCTGCTTGGAGACGAAGACGCCACCGATCTCGCCGAGCTCCTGGTTCACCTGCCGCACCGCCCGCAATCATCGAACATGTTATAGCTACTTCTGACGAAAGAATTGCGGCCCCATTGCAAGCATGTCCTGTCAAGACTGGGCAGCGCATGCAAAGTCGTCAAGGTGTCCCGATCTGCGAGACCACAAGCATTAAAATCCATGGTGGACCAAACATTTCGAAACCTTGGATGTCAATTCAGTATCTGCCCAACTAGCAACTGTTGGGCCCTCTTCACAAGGCCCAAAAATTCAATTCCCGGGCATCCGGGCCTTGTTCACCTCCATCTCGATGGCACCCTTGCCAAGGTCAAAGACCTTGTTGGTCTCCTTGAAGAGGTCCTCCTGACCGCCCTTGCCATCAGCCTGCATGGCAGGCAGGGCCACCGCCTGATCGTAGCCCAAGTACATGCCGCGGGCCTTAGGGTCCAGGAAACCACCAGTCCGGTAGGAAGGCACGCTGAACTCGCCACCCCAAGTGAAGCCAGGCTTGAAGGAGCTGCCCTCACCCTTGGCCACCAGCTCCTTGACGGTGAACAGGAAAGGCACGTACTGGCCATCCGGCAGCTTCACAGTCGTGGCTGCGAAGTCCATGCCATCCTGCTCCTTGAAGGTGATGGGGTTGGGATCCAGGCTGCCCTCAACGAAAGCCAGGCTGTAGGTCTGGCGAGTGGTCAGCTTGGTGGTGGCGAACTCCTTGCCCTTGTCAGTCTCGAACTCCACCGCAAAGGACTTGGGCTCGAAGCACACGTTGATGAGGCGGGAGCCGCTCTTCACTGGCACCTCACTGCCGTTGGACTCCACGGTGGGGCAGCGGTTCGCCAAGCCGGAGCCCCTGACCTGATTGTAGGTGAGCTGGCTGAACTGCTCAGCCGTGATGGCCTTGGCAGGCTGGGCGGCCACAAGGCCGAAGACCAAGCCAAGAGCGGCGCCAAAGCTCAAGAGAGGTGCGGCCCAGGACCAGCTGCTCTCGCTGCTCTGCACCGGTGCCGACTTCAACGCCTCGATGTGGTGAGGGGCTGTGTTTGCGCGGGGCGGCTGAGTAGGCACTCCGCTAAGGAAGCAGCTCCCTGCGGCCGCCGCCGCCAGCAACACTCCCACCACTGCGCAAGAGCGGGCCATGGCGTCAGGTAAAAACGTGGCCCTAGGCAGTAAAAAAACTGCAGCCAGAATAGCATCGCGGAAAGTACAACATAGCATGCTAGCAATTGTGTCCAAACCTGCATTGGTTGAATCAGAATCATAATGTACACTAACCCATACACCGTGAGATGAATGAGTCTCGGCATGTCTTCAAATTCATGTTTCAAAGATACTCTACTGGATGTTGCCTTTGCGGCGTTTAAACCATGTGATGATCCTATGATTGATTTCAGTTTAGCGACCAGTTGTTAATATACTTGTGTATCTGCGTGAAGCACGGCGCGTAGGAGATCGTGGTGGCTGTCAGAATTTTAGCAAGAGAAACTTCAAGCTATGTGTCTGCAATTGTGGAAACCTGCCCACGGGAAGGCAGCCGTGCAAGTCCGATTCGCAAGAGAGATAACTAGTGCCGAAAGGTACAGAGCATGACAATGACAAGGGGGCCCGCTTGAGGGGTGAGAGAACATGACATGGTCCAAGCCTGGCAAAAGCCAAAAGCGAAACCTGCAAAGATAAAGGCATCAGCGCGGGATTAGGAGCCATGCCATTAGAACTCTCACCCACCCAGCCACCCAACCCGAGCTTCAATTGAGTGATCCCCAGAGAGCTCTTCTGAATGGGCAGTATGTGAGAAGAGTTCTTATGTGACCGAATTGTTGGAACAAGGCGACCAATGTGTTCGGCCTCCAAACAGTGCAAGTGTTGCGAAAGACTTAAACAAGTGCCATCAAAAGTCGGCCCTGCGCGCGCTACATCTACATACTTGTTTTCAGAAACACTGCAAGCTGATTGCTTGGATTGAACAATGAATCAGTTGAGTACTTACCGAATTTCGGAGTTGCCACATTTAAATTAAACTCCTTGTTTGCGGCAATTTAATGGTTCTGGCTTTTCAACTGAAAAGTCCATGCTGGCAAAACCACCAAAAAAAATAAACTGAAACAAGTTGTCTCATTGCAAAACGAAATATTAATATCAATAAAGTACAATCCAAACCAGTATCTGCCAGTAGAGTGGTCGTAGTTGAAACAAGTTCAAAGCATAAGGATTCAAAGTCCTGCACAGGACAAAAGATACAAGCGCAAACTATGAGGCAATGTCAGGTGTTGGATCTTTGGGCGCTGGATTGGCTTGCTTTTCATGCCTGCGCAGGTTTTCAGGTTTTGGAGCCTCCAAACCAATACTTGCATAGTCACGGCTTACCGACTTCATTCTGGCTCGAGAACGTGTTCATCGTGAAATGTCCAATGCAACAACTACAAGTTTGTAGCTTGTTCCGACCATTTCTCGAGATACTTTAATCAACTCAAACTCTGACCTGCTGAGCCTCTCCTTTTCTAAACATGATGATTTCCAAGCTTTCTTGTCCAATTCTGGCTGGTGATTCAAGAGTTCAAAAATCAACATTGCAAAGCATGCTTGTCCCGATTCTGGCTCGATTGACTTGCACGCCAACAAATCGCAATCCTCTTGAGTTGAGTTTGAGAACTGGCAAATCAAATGCACTCAGAGCCACAATGCGGGCCCCGGGGTGCCATGGGCGTGTATGTCTGTCTGCCATTCGTCCGTCTGCTAGGCGGTCTGTATGTCTGCATGCCTGCATGTCTACATGTCTGCATGTCTGGAAGTCCAAATGTCTGAATGACGTACATCTGTGCGTCTGTAAATCTGTACGTCCACAATCCCTTCCCCCTTTTTACTACCTGCACCATATTAATAAGTATTGTTTTTCCCAGGCACCCGGATCTCCGGGTGCTACTTTTAGAATAGGCCACTTCTAAAGCAATACTAAGCTGGCTGACTACCAAACCCCACCCTAGCCTTTTCAGGGGTACTCCAGGACTCAGGCCCGTGACCCAAACAAAGAGAACATGGAGCTTTGAAAGTTTGTACTCTACCCTGTTTGCCAAGTTATAATTTGGGTCCGTTTCGAGCAAGCACATTTGCTTCTGCGGGAGCCCATCTGACCCCTAATTGCCCTGCTAAGGGCAGGAACCCTTGATAAATTTACTTGTTGGGGGAGGGGGCGGCGTAGTAATTATTAAGGAGAAGGGATTACGTCTACGAGAACTCCCAGTCGCTCCGACATTTGGCTCAAACCTCACAACAGGCAACGGAATGCGGCAACAGGCCAACGGACCCACGCCGGTAGCCTCAAGGTCCAGCACTCACCGCCCCGTTTTGTTGCCTCCCGAGTGACAAGTGTTGGCCTAGGCGTTCACCACCTTTCCGTAGAAGATGCCCTTCAGCAGAATGGTCCTGCAAAGCTGAAGAGAGCCTCTGGTTGCCATGCTGACAAAACAAAGATCCGCTCATTTCTTTTGAAACAACAGCGTCCAGATCTGTTACGCATCGCCAGGGGCCACCTGAACCCTCCAAGCTCCTTGGAGCCTTGGCACCCATGTCGGTGTCGGAAGGCTGCTTGGACACGAAGACGCCACCGATCTCGCCGAGCTCCTGGTTCACCTGCCGCACTGCCCGCAATCAAACAAAACATATGAGCCACGGCCGAAATCTATCAATCTCGGTGAGTCTACCCAACGTCGCTTGCTTGAGTACAGGAGATGATGGTGAATATGGGCAGTTGCTCATATGTGATCTAGGTACCCGCTCGCGAAAGAACTGCGACCCCTTAGCAACTGTGCAACCTGCGCCAAGCACAGCTGTTCAAATCTGCGCCCCTCATGTCAAAATGTTAACCACACACCACACACAGACACAGAGACACAGACACGCAGACACACAGACACACAGACGCACAGACACACAGCAACACACAGACACACACAGACACACACAGACACACACACACACACACACACACACACACACACAGACACACAGACACACAGACACACAGACACACAGACACACAGACACACAGACACACAGACACACAGACACACAGACACACAGACACACAGACACACAGACACACAGACACACAGACACACAGACACACAGACACACAGACACACAGACACACAGACACACAGACACACAGACACACAGACACACAGACACACAGACACACAGACACACAGACACACAGACACACAGACACACAGACACACAGACACACAGACACACAGACACACAGACACACAGACACACAGACACACAGACACACAGACACACACACACACAACACAACACAACACAACACAACACAACACAACACAACACAACACAACACAACACAACACAACACAACACACACAGACACACGCAGACACACGCAGACACACACAGACACACACAGACACACACAGACACACACAGACACACACAGACACACACAGACACACAGAGAACACACACACACAAACAAACCATCATTTAAGAAAGCACACACACACACATACCTCATCCCCCCCCCCTTGAGACATGCTATAGCACTGCTATTGGAGTGATATAGCACTGTTAAAGTACTTTGCTCCCAAAGGCTTCCCGACTGGCATCGCGACAAGCGCTGGAAAATGACACCCACCACCATGCTCATGCTCGTCCCCCTCGCACCCCTTCCTTCCCCGGCCCCCTGCCCTTCCCGTCAGCTTCAGAAGTCCGCAAGTCTTGCGCAAGGCACCAAAACTAACAGCAACACACACACACACATGCTAATACAAAAAGCATGCATTCCATTCAACAAGCTGTCCTGGCATCCTGGCCTTGTTCACCTCCATCTCGATGGCACCCTTGCCAAGGTCAAAGACCTTGTTGGTCTCCTTGAAGAGGTCCTCCTGACCGCCCTTGCCATCAGCCTGCATGGCAGGCAGGGCCACCGCCTGATCGTAGCCCAAGTACATGCCGCGGGCCTTAGGGTCCAGGAAACCACCAGTCCGGTAGGAAGGCACGCTGAACTCGCCACCCCAAGTGAAGCCAGGCTTGAAGGAGCTGCCCTCACCCTTGGCCACCAGCTCCTTGACGGTGAACAGGAAAGGCACGTACTGGCCATCCGGCAGCTTCACAGTCGTGGCTGCGAAGTCCATGCCATCCTGCTCCTTGAAGGTGATGGGGTTGGGATCCAGGCTGCCCTCAACGAAAGCCAGGCTGTAGGTCTGGCGAGTGGTCAGCTTGGTGGTGGCGAACTCCTTGCCCTTGTCAGTCTCGAACTCCACCGCAAAGGACTTGGGCTCGAAGCACACGTTGATGAGGCGGGAGCCGCTCTTCACTGGCACCTCACTGCCGTTGGACTCCACGGTGGGGCAGCGGTTCGCCAAGCCGGAGCCCCTGACCTGATTGTAGGTGAGCTGGCTGAACTGCTCAGCCGTGATGGCCTTGGCAGGCTGGGCGGCCACAAGGCCGAAGACCAAGCCAAGAGCGGCGCCAAAGCTCAAGAGAGGTGCGGCCCAGGACCAGCTGCTCTCGCTGCTCTGCACCGGTGCCGACTTCAACGCCTCGATGTGGTGAGGGGCTGTGTTTGCGCGGGGCGGCTGTGTAGGCACTCCGCTAAGGAAGCAGCTCCCTGCGGCCGCCGCCGCCAGCAACACTCCCACCACTGCACAAGAGCGGGCCATCTTCAGGTCCACAAAAAATTCAATGGCCTACAAAATGCTGACACGGAGCCCCAGGCCAGGCATAAGGATCGTAATTCCACTAAAGCATTTGTTTTTGTGCCATGTCCCGCTTGCGAGGCTGTACGCGCGTTTGTGGAAACATAGAAATCCGAAGCAACTTATGTTGCTGTCTCTGTGTTGCTTGCGTGGGTGGCTACTCAAGGACCGCGCTTAGAAGGACTCAAAAGTGTATGCAAAGATGTGCATAGCGGCGCTATGGCATCATTTTTCACAGGCAGAATGCCAAGAGGAGGATCCGCGTCAGTCAAGGTTTGGGCGAAAAGGCTGCATGAATGGCTTTGCGAAGTTTATTTACGAACAAATCATAACTCTTGCATGTCTTGCCGACCCACCACACATGAAAGACCCTCCCTGACCTGACCAAAAGTGGCATCGGTCATGTGAAATGTCCAGCTGACCTAC